GATAGCAAGCGCCCGAGGGAGAAAACGAGGGCCCGACTTCAAGTTGCGAAGATTAGCAGTGCCCAGCTTTGGCCCGAGCCAATTATCTGGCACAGGACCGTTCGGGCATGAAGGCTTCAGTTGAGGACCGTGCGCGCTTTATGGCATGTCCACCGCGATGCGGATTGGAAAAAGTGTTGTGAAGCTGGGGAAGGGTCTCAAAAAAGCCACGGCGGGCGCGGATGTCAGCGCCTGTACCAGGAGCGCCCAATGGAGTTCACGGTGCGGACTGGCACTGCTTAGGTGGTTTGCAAGAGGGCGCGTCCATGAACGAGTGGGGGCGCAGTTCTGTGGGGAGCGAGCATGATCAGGCCTTAGAGTTCGACTCAGAATGTACGGGCATTCTCCTTTGGAGAAGCAGAGTGGCGGAATGGTGCAGGGAGGATCAGTAGCTTTCGGACTACAAGCAGTTCTCAAAGACTCCGATGTTGATTTCAGCATCGCGTTCAAGAGCGATGCCCGTGCGGCCTTTGCCGTTGTAAGCTGGCAGGGACACGGGCGCGTCAGACATGTCGAGGGTGGTCAACTTTGGTTGCAAGAGGAGGTACGACGAGGGGACATCCAACTGATCAGAGTAGGACGAAGCAGGAACGCATGGGAACGTTGGAGATGCGTTGGGCCAATTGTGAGCGGGGAAGGCATGTCCATCATCTGCTACGTACAATTCGACATAGTTTTAGCTGGAGACGCAAGGTGGCACTTGCGAGAGGGTGCTCGCTCAACTTGTGCGCGGGCCACTTTCGCGGGACATGTGGCCGAATACTTGAGCTCGCGATGAGTTGAGGCCCAGGTGCTCGTCAAGGAATGTTATTGAAGATGTTAGCAATGTGACGTGGCTTGGTGTTTTGTGACAGTTTAAGACCATGGATCGCGCGTTAGGAAGCCCGTGAACGTTCACGCTCAAACTTTAGCGGCATTTTGTTTGCACCAGTCATGCATTCAAATATTCCGTTATTGCACTTGGATAACGAAGAGTGAGTCTTGGCTTCGCGAGCGCTTCCCACTTGTTGCGCACTCGCCCCTTATCCAGCCGATGTCACTGATTACTTCCCTCCCGTTACTCATTCGATGTTGTGGTTGATGTCCGTAAGGGTTTCGCCCCCTGCCGCCGGCCCCCTCTCTCGGAGAATGCGCTATGCAAGAGCTATGTCATGAGGCCTGGGCGCTGTCGTGAAGCAATATCGGAACTTCATGCGAAGCCCAACTCGTAATGATCAAAACCAATCGATGACCAGAGGGGTTACCACACCTGGCGATTGGTAAGACGTCGTGACCCTGCCGGAATTTTGAAAATGTGGCAAGTCCCTAGTGTTTTGGGACCGTGACCCTACGGATCCGCGTGAGGGGTGCCATCGGATTTCAGAATGTTGAGAATCCTTTCGGCTTTCGGACCCTGGCCCCGCCGATATGCGCGAGGGGTGCCATCGAATTTCAGAAATGTTGCAAATCACATATGTTTTTGAAACCCTGACCCCGCCGATCTGCGTGAGGGGTGCCACCGGATGTCGGACATGTGGCAAGTCTTCAATTTTTTGGGACCCTGACACCGCCGATTTGTTTGAGGGGTGCCAGCGAATTCCAAAATGTGGCAAATCCTCTTTGTTTTCGGACCCTGACCCCGCCGATTTGCGTGAGGGGTGCCACCGAATGTCAGAAATGAAGTCGGTCCCTCATGTTTTTGAACCCTGACCCCGCGGATCTGCGTGAGGGGTGCCCGCATATTTTAGAAACGTGGCCAAATCCAATGTGTTTTTGGACCCTGACCCCGCCGATTTGCGTGAGGGGTGCCACCGAATTGCAGACATGTGGCAAACCCCTTGTGTTTTTGGACCCTGACCCCGCCGATTTGCGTGAGGGGTGTCAATGTTTACCCGCCCCAGCAATCCAGAGCACACGTTCAGGGCGTGCTAAACCTGCCCGTTAGGGCCTCCTCCCCTCGCGCGGTCCATCAACAAGGAACAGTAAGCAACGAGAAGCAGAACTGTAACAGTGGAAACTGGAAACTGCAACTGGCACAGGAAACTGCGAACCTTCGGCCTACAGCGTGGTAGCCCCACAAGGGGGCCGGCGGATTTCAACCGTTTTTCAAATTCGGCTTATCTTCCGATGGGCGGGGTAGATTATACCGTCCGGGCTGGGTGAAAAAGGCGCATGCTCCAGCGTGACAAGCCCCCCCGTGACAGTCGACACGCCCATGTCATCCGTTACGCATTGCCTTTTGCTCAGAGCGCAGTGACCACTGCCGCTTGCGTGAAAAAAAAATCCTGCCGTATCCTCAGAGCCTCAGGGGTAGGAGGGGTGCGAAGGGAGAATGATGAGGGTGATGGTGGTGGTAATTGCTATGGTGATGGTGCTCGTGATGTGATGGCGATGCTGGCGGTGGCGCGCGCGATGGTGGTGGTAATGAATATGCCGCTGATGATGACGATGATGGGCAGCGATGTTGATTTTTGTCTGGCTCGAAAGAAAAATTACAAATGAGCCCGGTGCCATTCCGAGGCAGTTTCGGACAAGGCTCAAACCATGTGACGCCGACCTGCATCCACAACCGGATCGCGGAGTAGAACCGAGACGGGCCATTGCGCTAGGCAGATCGGAGGCACGCAGAAGCAATTATCGAAGACATGGGCCTGGCAATGCAACTCCATATGTGAGATGCCATAGGGGATAACAAGCGCGCGGGGAAGAAGACGATTGTCCGACTTCAAGTTGCGACGTTTAGCAGTGCCCAGCTGTGGTGGCCCAAAGGACCGTTCAGGTATGCGGGCTTCAGTTGAGGATCGTTCACGCTGTACGGCATCTCTAACGCGATGCGCACTGAAAAAGTGTTGTGAAATTGGGAAAGTGCCTCAAGAACCACGACAGGCATGGATATAAGTGCCTGTACCATGAGCGCCCTATGGAGTTCACGGTGCGGACTGGCACTGATTATGCTGTTTACAGGAGGACGCGTCCATCAACGAATGGGGGAACAGTTCTGTGAGGATCGAGTGTGATGAAGCCGTAGAGTTCGACTCAGAATGCAATGGCAGTCTTCTCTGGAGAAGCAGAGTATGGCGGAATGGTGCAGGAAGGATCCGTAGTTTTAGGACTACAAGCAGGTTTCAAAGATGTCGATGCTGATTTCGGCATCTCGTTCAAGAGCGATGCCCGTGCGGCCTTTGCCATTGTAAGCTGGCGAGGACACGGACGCGTCAGACACGTCGAGGGCGGTCAATTTTGGTCGCAAGGGGAGGTACGACGAGGGGACATCCAACTGATCAGAGCAGGAACGAAGCAGGAACCCATGTGAACGTTGGAGATGCGTTGGCCCAATTTGTGAGCGGGGAAGACGTGTCCATGCGTCTGCTGGGTACCATTCGACATATTTTTAGCTGGAACCGCAAGCTGGCACTTGCGAGAGGGTGCTAGCTCAACTTGTGTGCGGGCAACTATCGCGGGACATGTGGCCGAATACTTGAGTTCAGGACTAGTTGAGGCCCAGGTGCTCGTCGACAAATGTTACGGAACATGTTCGCCACATGGCATGGTTTGGTGTTTTGTGACAGTTCAAGATCATGGATCGCGTGTTAGGAAGCCCTTGCACGTTCACGCTCAAATTTTAGTTGCGTTTTGCTTGCTCCAGTCATGCTTTCAAGTGCTCCGTTATTGCACTTGGATAGCGAAGAGTGGGCCTTGGCTTCGCGAGCGCTGCCCACTTGTTGCACATTTGCCCCTTACCCAGCCGATGTCACTGATTATTTCCAACCCGTTACTCTGTCGATGTTGTGGTTCATATTTCAACCGTTTCCACATTCGGCTTATCTTCCGATGGGCGGGGTAGATGATACCGTCCGGGCTGGGTGAATAGGCGCATGCCTGTAGTGTAGCAGTCAGGTATACGTACTCCAGCGTGACGAGCCCCCCCGTAACAGTCGACACGCCCATGTCATCTTTTACGCTTTGCCTTTTGTTCAGCGTGCAGTGGCCATTGCCGCTTGTGTAAAAAAAGTTCCTGCCGTATCTTCAGGGGTAGGAGGGGTACGAGGGGGGAATGATGATGGTGATGGTTGTAGTGATTGTTATGGTGCTGGTGCTTGTGATGTGATGGCGGAATGTGATGTGATGTGCTGGTGGTGTTGGTGGCGATGGTGGTGGTAATGAATATGCCGTTGATGATGACGATGATGATCATGATGCTGTGGATGGTGATTGCGATACTGGTAGTGAGCATGATGGTGTGGGTGATTGTGATTGACATGGTGCTGATGACGGTGGCGATGTTGTTGGTGATGGTAATAACGACTGTGAAAGGAAGAGTGCTATTACGAATGGTGGTGATCATAGTAACCATGATACTACCCATGAGAGTGAAGAGGATGGCGATGGTGGAAATGATGATGTTGGTGGTGATGGTGGTGGTGGGGATGATGGTGACGCGCCTCCTCGTCGTCCTCCTCCCCAGCCCTCCCCCAGCCAACCCTCCGTAGCATAGTATTTATCATTCCTCCCTCTGTTTGTCGTTTGCATCCTCTGTAAGATTCCCCTGGCACCGTCATAATGTGCATGATAATATTGATTATGTTTTTGTTCACCCTGATCCGACTCGTTCTCCTCCGCCATCTCCTTCCGCAGCCCCCCCGATCCTGCTGCTGGTTTCGTTTTGCATGCTCCATCTTCATTCTCACCTCGCTCTCTTTACCTTCGTCCTTCGCCTCCACCTCCACTTCGCCGTCAACTTGCTCATTGCCCGTTCCATATGTCACCCTCTTCCATCTCCACTGTACCCTCACCGTCGCCGTCCTAGTCCCTAGTAGTCCATCGCCCCCCGTCAAGAAGAAACTCGGAGCCTCCAGAATCATGTCGGAACTACTGGGTCTCCCGAGGCACTTGGAGTTCCAAAAGAGCCAAACAAGCTTCAAACCATATCGGTCTGCAATCCTCGATCTCTCCTCCTCGCCTACGCCGGCACTTCCCGAGAGGTTTCGGCTTGGGAGTCGTCGGCTCCCAAGGACAATTCGCCGATCGTCAACAGGACGCACAGCCAGCCGACCAGGGGCACCAGCCTGGAGCAGGTGGATATAAAGGCGCTTGGGTGCGTGGGGGGGGGGGGGGCACGACCGCGGAGACGAGGGGGGCGGGGGGGGGATCCGGAGACAGGCCTCCTCCCTATCCCGATTCCCCCCCTTCCGCCCTCCCCCCTCCCTCCTGCCCCATCCTCGACATTCCGCCTCCTTGTTGTCATCCCTCTCTTCCTCATCCTTCATCTTCATCATGATTACTCAGCCGATCAATCAATCAGTTAATCAATCAATCAACCAATCAATGCATCAATCAATCTAGTCATCATTATCACCATCATCGTCATCATCATCTTCATCATCATCAGCATCATCATCGTCATCACCATCTTCATCTTCATCGGCATCATCGTACATGTCCTCCATCACATCTTCCTTCCACGCAGGAGCAGGACGGAGGAGCGAGGAACGAGAGGCGATGGACGTTGAGAGAGAAAGGGGACGGAAGAGGGGGGCGCCATGGCTTACATCCTACCCCATCCCGCCCATCCCGTATCGTTGCGCCGATGTTGTCTCTACTCGCCGACGCGTATCATAGCGTATCTGGAATGCGGACACGGGCCCCGTCCTGGTGCGCGCAACAGGAAACACATGGAGTTGCGTACATGGGAGGAGAAGATGAGGGCTGCGCAGGAGCATGAGCAAGGAGGACACGGAAGAGGTTAGAGGAAGTAGGGAAGTAGGAGTGGAAGGGCGGGAGGCTTCGATTGGTATTCATCTGACCTGATCAACCCTACGGTGAGCACGACTCCAGGGTCGACGATGTGGAGGGCGCCCAACCCCCAGGCCCATCTTGGGTGACGAGGGCGGCCTCAAGTTTGCATGTCTTGCAAGTCTTGGGTACTACAGCTGAGGACGTTGGCTCCAGCTGCCCTCCCCGAAATTTTGGCGAGCACCAGTGTTGTAGCTGATGACCGCCTGCTGCCTCCATGATTCCAGCGCTGTAGCTGACATCGGGCACCTGATTCGCCTCCCTCATCGCGCAGCGTGGCGACAGTGATGGCTGCTGCTGCTGCTCGCCCTTCTCGCATGACTTCGGGCTCCACCTTCGCGCACGCCCTGATCTCCGCTTTGCAGCTGACATCTGACATCGGGCGCAGGCTTCACCTTCCACAGGTTGCCTTCCACGCCCTGATCCCCGCTCTGAAGCTGCTGATCTCGGGTCCCAGCTTCGCCAGCCTCCCTCCAGCGCCAGAAGCGGCGGCCACGGTCTGCCTTCCCGCATCTTCGCCTCCCGCTTCTCGCACTGCTCGTCTTTCTCACACGCGCCGTACTCCCCGTTGTCGTTGACGACCTCAGGCTCCAGCTTCGCCTCCCACTTCTCGCAGAGTGGTGTTGAAGCCGCCTGCCGCAATTTGCCTCTCTCGCCGCCTGCCCTGATCCCAGCGCTGTAGCCGAGGACATCGGGCTTCAGTTTCGCTCTCCACCTTTCGTTGAGTAGGGGCAGAGTGTGCTGCCGCTGCTCACCGTTCTCGCACACGCTGCCCTCAGCGCTGTTGGTGACGCACTCCGCCTCCAGCTTCGCCTCCCGCCTCTCGCAGGGTAGTGTCGGAGCCGCCTGCCGCTGTTCGTCCGTGTTGCACGCCTTGGTCCCAGCGTTGTAGTTGATGACATCGAGCTCTAGCTTCGCCTTCCACGGCAGAGCCTGCTGCCGTTGCTCGCCCTTCTCGCCGCATGCCCTGATCCTAGCGCTGTAGCTGACGACATCGGGCCCTCTTCTCCCTTCACTCAGCGCTGTTGTTGCCAAGTTTGGGCTCCAGCTTCGCCTCCCACTTCTCGCAGAGTAGTGTCGGAGCCGCCTTCCTCCTGTTCGCCCCTCTCGAGGTCCTGATCCCAGCGCTGCAGCTGATAACATCGGGCATTAGCTTCGCCCTCCACGGCAGAGGGGGGGCCACGGGGGGAAAGGGAGCACATCTTGGCAGCAGAAGAAGACATCGGCTCGCTTACCTCAAGCCACCCACCTCTGGGAGAACAAAGCAAATCGATGAGGAATGCGCTCTGGTTCCACTCTGCGGCGAGCGCCACAGCCAGGAGCACGACGAAAAATCAGTTCTGGAGCGTTCCAGAACGCTATCAGGGCATTCCGGAACGCTCTGCGAAGGCCGCGGCGCCGAGACATTTTCCAGAGCCGCCGGATTTCAGAGGTTCCCGGGCCCAACAACGGGCCCCTGGGCCGAAACTAGGACAAAGCCCCAGGACCGAACAAGATCAGATCTTCGGATCTCCGGGTTCCCCGTTTTACCCTCGCCCGATCGTCCTCGCCCCAGCTTCGTCTCAGAGCTCGCGCGTGGCGTGCGATGCGTCGGTTCGACGCGAGGCTGTCCTAGATTGGAGGTGGAGGAGGAGAAGGAGGAGGAGGAGGAGGAGGAAGAGGGGGAGGACAAGGAGGGGGTGGACAAGGAGTGGGAGGAGGAGGGGGAGGGGGAGGAGGACGAGGAGGAGGAGGAGGAGGAGGAGGAGGAAGAGGAGGAGGTCCCAGATTAGGGGGGTAGCCTGGACAGCCCCGACAGCCCGACGCGCCGCCGCCGCCGCTGTGGAGGTCGCTCGGCCCTTCTGCGTGGGTGGGCCCTTCGTCGGGGGCGGCCCTTCGTCGGGGGCGGTCGCGGCCCTTCTTCTGGGGCGGTGGCTGTCCTCAGTAGGTCTGTCGTTTTGCCCCCCCCCCCTGGTTTCTCTCGGCGGGGAAAACAAGCTCGCCGTCCTCCTCCTCCTCCTCCCTCCTCCTCCTCCTCCTCTCTCCTCCTCCTCCTCCTCCTCCTCCTCCTCCTCCCTCCTCCTCCTCCTCCTCCTCCTCCTCCTCCTCCTCCTCCTCCTTCCCCTCTCCCTCCTCCTCCTCCGAGAGGAGCTACGACCCCCGAGCGCCTGCCTTGCCTTGCCTCCTCCTCCTCCTCCTCCTCCTCCTCCTCCTCCTCCTCCTCCTGTTCTGTTTGACGGCATTTGGGGACGATGATCCGCTGCCCGCACGTGAATTCGGGAAAGGCGCACTTGCCACTGAAGCTTGACCTTAGGCACCGACCTGCTGGGCCTCGCAATAGGGGTCAAGCGGACAAAAGAAGCGCGCCAATGTCGGGTCGAGAGGGGGGTGACGGGTCAGGTCGACACAGCTCCGCGGATGGATCTCACCCCTCTCTCTGAGCTCCTGGCAAGCGAAAGTGACAAAATGTCGGGCCAGAAACATGCACAGTTCGGGAGGATGCTCCTTGGCGGTCTGGGGCTTCCAGCCACCGTTGCCATCACTTCCCTCTAAAGTGGTGTGGCCTCCGTGGCTGCAGCGTCCTCTGTTCGTCATCATGTGGACTTCCCTGCGCACGGAGGGGAGATTCACAGTCAGGAGCATCGTTGGTTTCGTCGTTTGCGAACCGAACATACACTGGTCGATCCAGATCGTATCAGTATTAAAACCCATCGAGGCTAAGGTCCGCATGTGGCTGGTTTCCTTGAGAAACCAACTCGTTGGAGCAACCTGGTTCGACGGGCAGGCAGGGTGCACTAGTATACCACAGGCACATGACGCAAGACATACGCACATTAAATAAAGCGCAGCACGATACAGATCATTTTCTGTAGATGTCTGGGCCCACTCTCTGGGAGTGGCTAGAGGTCGCCCCCATTCATACTGTAAGGACCGAGGCTGTCGAAATCCCTGGTCTCGAGGGTCCTCTAGTAGTCGCACTGGCCTCCAGGTCTCGCTGGGGGGGGCTGGTGAACACTCCTATGGCGAGGCCTTGGAAAACAAAGGTAGCGAGCTTAATGCAAGCACTGCGTGACCTGAGGTCACCGTCGGCATCGTCATTGACAATGTCGATCGATAAAACAGCGAGGGGCCCTGTGGGAGCCTCTAGAGTCTGAAAGAGCTCTACACAGTGCTGGAAATCTTCTCTCCGTCTCTGACCACAACAGAGATGGATAATGTATCTCGTTTCACTGGGCTGTATCCTACGGGGGCTCGGGGGGGTACACCCCTCGGCCTCAGGGAAGCAAACGACAGAGGTGTAGGTAGGACGGAGCAGAGGAGGACCAAGACCATCCAGGGCAGAATGGAGGGCGTCGCCAGGGTCCTCAGGGCGGGCGGGAACGTCGGCCTCGGTGGCGCGCATGCCCTTGGCCTTCAAGGAGGCCACCAAGGCGCGATCATCTTCCCACAACTCCTTGTATCTCTCGTCGGGGTGGGGGGCCACGGTACGACTCCAGAGCTCGAGGCAGCCAGTGCGAGCATGTCGCAAGTGCTTCAGGAGGCGGGGACGCGTGACAAAGTCAACTCCACAAGCCAGGCACTGTCCCGTCTCGGCGAGTCTGCCCGCAGGGTCATCGTGCTTCTTAGTAATATGAGCGCGCATAGCTCCCTCGTGGGCACACACACCCATACTGGCAAGTGTCGCAAACGTATTTCGTAACAGGCTCAAGGAGCGGAGCAGAATCGGGCGGCGGAATGGCGTGAGCTCTACATATGTTGCCCAAATCCTTTCCCAAATCCTTTCTCCACAACTGTAGCCGGTGTTGGTCTGCTTGCCATGTTTTAAAATTGCGTGCGGCGGTCCTGCAGATTCTTTTCCATCGGGCTGGGTCGGTGGACGCCTGCAACAAAAGTTCACGAGCAGGGAGAGTGCGATCTTCTTTACAATCATAGAACTTCTGAAGCCACGCGAGATCCTCTCGTATGAGCGCACCCCATGACTTCCTACAGCGGCCTTCCATATCGAGGAGCTGCCGCAGCTGTGGCGGGGCCGAAGTCATCAGCCTGGCCAGGTACCGAAGCCGCATGAGGCGCAGGATGTCGGGAACAGCGAGCCTGTTGACATCGAGCAAGACCTGCTCGTTGGCAGCATGCGGCTGGTCAGGACGTCCAAGCCGTATCCCCAGGATGGTCCTGAAAGGGGCAAGGTGGGTGTTGATCCCTAGACAGTTCACCCCAGACGTGGGCGTTGTAAAGTAACCTCGAAGTACAGAGAGCGTCAACATACTTGGCACGAGTCTTGATGGGTAACCTTTTGGCCTTCAAAACCGTCCTACGAAGAGGCCCAAGTCCCGTCTTTTGCTGGGTCCTGCGGTGGGCCAACTCGGGGGCGATGCAGCCACTCTGGGCCAACATGGTGCCAAGATATTTGTAGGATCTCTGGAGGAAAATTTCGTCGTCGTAGTGGGTAACATAGACAGGGTCAGCAACGGGGAAGATATTGGCCTTAACCGTACGAGCTCCCTCTCCTGGTGGGTGGACGAGGAGTGCTGATTTGCCTTTTTGAAATTGATAGTCATGCCTCTCTTGACCGTGGCGTTGCTGATGGTGACAACCACGTCAGACATCGCCTGGGGGAGGTCGGCAGCACTTTGGACCACTGCCATGACGCAGAGGTCGTCAACAAAGGTGCTGTCCGCGAGACAGTCAGTCTCAGCGTCCTGGGGCAGAGAGAAGAGAGGGTCCTGCTGGCCGTCTAGCTCAAGCAGGTAGTTGGCACTGCTGAGTTCCTCACGAATTTCGCGCACGATAGGCACAAAGAGAAGGTTGAAAACTAGGTCAGCAGGCGAGCTGCCAGGACGGCTACCCGTGGTGGTACGTATAACTCCTCGGGACCCCTTGGTTTTGAACCAGGTGCTGGTATGCAGATCCGCCAGCATCCTTAACAGGTGAACATTGTCGAGGCCCTCCAAAACAGAGGGTTGCGCGATGGTGTGCTCCAAAATCGGGACCAGGGCCTCGGGGATATCGGCGGCATCGATAGCGTCAGCTATGTCCTGGGGGTCCTGGAGGAAAGGCATGACGATGGGTCGGATAACTTTATAGAACGCCGATTTCAAGTCGATGAAAGCAAGCACCGTAGAGAGGCCCTTAGCACAGGAGACAGCCGAGAAAGTGCGAACCGTGTGGGTCGCCATGTCAGTCCCTTTGCCCTGGCATCTGGGTCTCGATAATGAGACCCGCAACAAGCGTTTTAAATTGGTCCCTCAAAAATTTGTGGTGGTGCTTGGCAGTATTACTCATAAGAAGGATTTGGCGATAGCTCTCGTGCATCGCCGCGCTGCCATTGTTCTTGTACAGATCATGAGCCCACCCACCCTTGAAGGCAAGAGGCTCCTGGGTGTGCATGCCCGCCTTTAAGATGACCGGGTGCACCAGGCGAGCAGTCTCGGTAGGTGCGCAGCGCAACAGGTCATCAACAACGTCATCGGGTCCTCCAGCCTTGCCTGAGGTGGCCTGCGAGAACGAGAAACGAAGTTGGTCACGGGTCATCAGATCCTCCTCCTCCTCCTCCTCCTCCTCCTCCTCCTCCTCCTCCTCCCCCTCCCCCTCCTCCTCCTCCTCCCCCTCCTCCTCCTCCTCCCTCCTCCCTCCTCCTCCTCCTCCCTCCTCCTCCTCCTCCTCCTCCCCCGTCCTTGTCCTCCTCCTCTCCTCCTCCTCCTCCTCCTCCTCCTCCTCCTCCTCTTTTTTCCTTGTCCTCCCCCTCCTCCTCCTCCTCCTCCTCCTCCTCCTCCTCCTCCTCCTCCTGCTCCTCCTGCTCCTCCCCGTCTCATTCCTAAGGATTGAATCATGGCGGTCAGGGGGGGATGTTATGGTGGAGGCCATGATTCAGAGGAGGAAGAAGTACCCATACCGCTACCTTTCTTTCGTTTTCCCCATTTGGGGCCTCCTGCGAGCCCCTCGTCGCCACCGCTGGATTCGCTTGGAAGTTCGGGCCAGACCGTGACCCAGGAGAGGGCCGTGGAGACCGGTATCGGTACTGTCGGGTTTCCTCAATGAAGTCTTCGCAGATTTCATGGCCCCTGTTCTTGTTTCAGCACGGTCCGTGGCCGCCCTTGGGCCGCGCACGTGCCTTTGGCCATGATCTGCGAACTCTCCTCTTGGACGCCCTCGACTCCGGCTAAGTCAGCAGAGCGGGGTGCCACGGATCGCCCAAGCCATGTTCTTGCTTGCACGGAGGGGTTGCAAAAGCTTCCCGCTGGTTCCCCAGTGCGCAGTGGCAAGCGGATGGTTGCTACAAGCTGACAGGGCGCATGCCAGAAGTGGCTCACGCTTCTCACGAGTGGGCGATCTTCATGGGCCGATGTTCCAACACCACTTCCACCACCATAGGTAGGAGAGGGAGGAGGAGAAGAAGAAGGAGGAGGAGGAGGAGGAGGAGGACGAGCTGGAAGAAGACGAGGACGAGGAGGAGGAGGAGGAGGAGGACGAGGAGGACTGGGGGGGGAGGAGGAGGAGGAGGAGGAGGAGGAGGAGGAGGAGGAGGAGGAGGAGGAGGAGGACGAGGAGGAGGAGGAGGAGGACCTCCTTCTCCTCCCTTCCCCCCGTCCTACATCTTGTTGTGGTGGTGGAACGGTTGCCCATCAGAGCGGGTGATCTGCACTCACGATCCCCCTGCCGGAGCAGGAGTTCCCGCCGTCGGCGAATGCCGGCCCCCTCGCCGCCTCCGGGAAGCCGCGGGCGCCGGCGTCGCCGCGGCCACCGGGGGAAGCGAAGGACGCTGCGCGGGGGGATGGCGCCGACGACGACGACGACGACGACGACGACGACGACGACGACGACGACAGCGACTCGGAGCTTCGCCCGACGAGGACACTCGAAGAACAAACATCGCCCAACACATAAACACATAAACTGTTGGCGCTTCGCGCGGGTTTCTTGGAGCTGCGCTGGGCCCCCCCCCCGGCGGCGCCTCCAGCGCCGCCCGTGGCGCGCTCCGCGCGCCAGGGAGGGGGGCCAGCGCGGATCCAAGAAATCCGCGCGGAGCACCAAAAGTGTATATTCATGGCGTTTTTTCTTCTTCTGGACTCCGAGGTTCGTCCGACGACGACGACGACGACCAACGGCGACGACGCGGCCCGCTCCTGCTGCCCCCAGGGGCGGACGGACGATGCTCGATGTGTTCTCTGAGGTGGCGAGCATGCCGGCAGGCCAACTCGGAGCTGGCCGTGGGCCCGAGGTGGCCCAGCACTGGTGCTGGACAGCAAGAATCAGGAAGGGAAAAAACACACAGACACAATTAATCATCGACTCCCAGGAAAATATGGGAAAATATGGGAAGCGGGGGGGAAGACAACAGCCCAGAACATATGGGAAAAGATGGGGCATATTTTTATGTGTGTGTATTTATTTGTGTGTCCCAGGGCCCCTTCAAAGAAGGGGGGCAGGTCCGAGATTCGGGGTTCGGGAAGCTGTTTTTCCGAACCGGGTCGGGGGTGACAAACTACACCAGATATGGGCCCAGGGAGGGGTCTGGGGATCGATTCTGAGCGGATTGGGCCTCATCCCCCTCCCCTCCCCCTCCTGACATATTTTCTGGGCGGATTGGGCCTCATCCCCCTCCCCTCCCCCTCCTGACATATGTTCTGGGGCCGCAGCCAGTCCAGACCCCACGGCCGCCTCCAAACGACGACGACTCCGTTTTGGCGGTGTTTGTTCACCGAGGCCCCGATCGGCAGTGACTGTTGCCACGGCATGGGCCCTCCTGCGGTCCTGCGCTTCGCTACTGCGGTTCAGCCCGCACGGGTGCGCGAGGCGGTGGTCCGCGCATGGCGCTGTGCGCACACCGCCACAGAGGTCGCCTCTCTGCTCTCCTTTCCTTTCGGCTCTTGGCGCTGTGCGCGCACACACACGCACACACACGGCATAAAAACCGTTGCGTATCGGCGTCTCGTCCATGACAGCTGCTTGTCTAATGTGGACACTTTGATTGGCCAGCGCACCTCAGCGGCACATCCTAGGCCTCCAAGCTGTTTGTGGCGTTGTCTGCGGTTTGAAGGAACTGAGGCCCCGATAGGAATCCCGCGGGCCGTGTCCTCATCCCCCTTTCGCTGCCCGTCCCCTCTTCGTTACCACATGTTACCCCCCCCCCCTGCCCCTTCCAATTGCCCTCTCCCCGCTCCTGCCCCTCCTTGCCCTGTGTCTTTCAATTCCTCCCATCCATCCCCCACCCGAAGAGGTCTCCGAAGGTCTTTAGAGGTATCCCCCCGACAACAACTTCCCCAAACATCGATCTCCGAGGAACGTCCTCTGCTTCCACTCTCGCTCGCTCTCTGGCCCCTTTCCCTCCTGCGCCTCCTATATAAGGAGGGTGAGGGGCAAAAGGAGAAGGAGGAGGAGGAGGAGGAGGAGGAGATGAGGAGGGGGAGATGAGCAGGAGGAGGAGGAGGAGGATGGGAGGACAAGTGTAAACTGAAGACGCGTCTCTTCATAGGTTCAAGGAGTTGTTTTCACTGCGGGAAGCTCCTGGGACTTCAACGCCGCGAATCAACGTGACTGTCAAGTCCTGACGATCCTGAATCGTACCAGGACTTCAACCTCGCGATTCAACGTGACCCCTGCGCCCTGAAAATTCTAAATCGTGCGGACACACCACCGCTGAGACGTCATGGGTCGTCATCTCTAAGGCTTTGGGGAACTTGTAAGACGAGCGTGCGCGGCGCTCAGGCGAGAGCCGCAGTTCGAAAAGGAGCCGCCCTCCCCATCCGTGGAACCCGTTTAAACTCTTACGACGAGTGTGCATGTCGCCGCGGCGGGAGATACATTTGAAAACCACCCGCCCTACACCCGTGAAGCTCCTGCAGCCATCTGGCACGCACGTGCGCGGCGGCAGGGCGGGAGCCGCAGTTTTGAGCACCGCCCGCCCTCCCTCCGCGCAGCCGCTGCAGCTTGTAGGCTTCGGGGCCGTGAGCGGTGGGGAAGCCTCGGGCGACACGCCTGGCCCGCCGCACCGACCCGTCCCCGGGGTGCGACGGGGAGGAGTTGTGCATTCCCGGAGGGGTGCTTGCACTCCCAGGTTCTCGCCCCTGTTCTAGGGGACTGGGCCGTGTCTTCGGTCTGGAGGTCATGTGGCCGCCGTGGCCGCCCCGTCGCCGCATCGTCGCCGCCCGTCGTCTCGGACGTGCCTTCGGTCTTGCGGCAATGTGGCCGCCGTCGCCGCCACGCCGTCGCCTCGTCGCCGCCCGTCGTTTGTGCCCGTCTGTCGGTCTGGCGGCTATTTTGCCGCCATTGCCGCCTCGTCTCCGCCCGTCGTCTGGGCCTGTCAATCGGTCGCCGCGCGTGTTGCCGCCATCGCCGCCCCGTCACCGCCGCACGTATATTGCACCACATAAATTGCGCACCACATAGATTGCACAACATAGATTGCACCGCAGAGATTGCACATCACATAGATCGCACAACATATATATATATATATATTGCACAACATTGGTTGCACAGGATCGTTTGCACTACATAGGTTGCAACACATAGGTTGCACAACTTCGATTGCACACCATATGCAGTACAAGCTAGACTACACCACCTATGTTGAACTTTAAGTGTACCTCGTAGATCACAGCACCCAGATTGCGCAACATATATATATATGTATATATTGTGCAAGCTAGACTGCACCGAATAGGTTGCTCCACATAGAGTGCACAACATGTTGTGCACCACATATACTGCACCACGTGAATGGCACAACATAGATTGCACGACCTATAACGCAAAAATCGTATTGCACAACATTGACTGCCTCACAGATACTCTCCTTCAATCCAGACTTAACCGTCCACCCTCGGCATGCTCATTTACATCTGCCTATGCAATGCAATGATCCCAGCCCAGCCAGTATCGACCCGTTCACCCCCCCTGCAACAAACATTATAAGAGCACATGTGTTTATCAAGGGCCATCAATGTTCAATAATCCCTTGCTGAAGAATTGACGAAGTGCACACGCTCTCGTCGTCGCGCGCACATGCCGAACTTCAAAAGCGTAGTTTCGCCAGGATCTCAACATCCAGTGCCCCGAAAACATAGAACAAACACATGGCTTGGCAAGATGAGGTTTCAAAAGATGTCTGCGTACGCGCTCTGTCAAATTCTTAACAGAACCATGTGCTTTTAACTTGTTTAGCACGTGCACCGCAGAGGCAAAATCCACCGTTTCGGGTTCCGAAATCACCTCGAACCGTTCCGGGGTGATTATGGAAAGTTGACGCTGACCGTTTCAGGTTCCAGAATCACCTTGGAACCATTCCGGGGTGAAAACCCATCTGGAGCCATTTTGAGCTCCTCCCAGAAGGCTTCTCTGAGCTCCTTACAGAATGCCTTCTTGAGTTCCTTAAAGGAGGCCTTATCGGGCTCCTTACAGGAGGCCTTACTGGCTCCTTACAGACGGCCTTATTGCGCTCCTTACAGAAGGCCTTATTGAGCTCCTTACAGAAGGCCTCATAAAGCTCGTTGCAGAAGGCCTTTTGGGGCTCCTTACAGAAGGCCTTTTTGGGCTCTTTACAGAAGGCCTTATTGTGCTCCTTACAGAAGGCCTTATTGCGCTCTTTACAGAAGGCCGTAATTGGGCTCCTTCCAAAATTCTTCATTGGGCTCCTTACAGAAGGCCTTATTCGGCTCCTTACAGAAGGCCTTATTGGGCCCCTTGCCGCCGCCGGAAAAATGGTTCCTCAGTAAGATTTTTCATTTGGAAAATTGCTGTTTTGGGGGCTCGGGTGGAGCAGTTTTGCGCTGGGGAGGGTGTAGATGGATTTCCACCCTGGAGCGGTTCTGGGGTGAAAATCCATCTGTGACCTCCCGACGGTGAGCGGGAGGGCCCAGTCGCGAAAAACAAGCTCCCCAATCAGACATTTCATTTGGAACATTCCCATTTTGGGAGCTCGGGTTCACTTCCCCCCATCCCCGAGAGAGCCGTTTTGCGCTGAGAGGGGGTTCCAGATGGATTTTCACCCTGGAACGGTTCTGGGTTGAAAATCAATCTGGGACCTCCGACGCTGAGCGGGGGGGCCCAGCCGCGAAAAACAACCCCCCAATCAGAAATTTCATGTGGAAAATTCACATGTTGGGAGCTCGGGTACACTTCCCCCATCCCCGAGACAGCCGTTTTGCGCGGGGGGGGGGGGTCTAGATGGATTTTCACTCGGAAACGGTTCCGGGATGAACATCAATCTGGGACCTCCCGACGCTGAGCGGGAGGGCCCAGCCGCGAAAAACAAACTCTCCAATAAGAGATTTCATTTGGAAAATGGCCATTTTGGGCGCTCGGGTACACTTCCTTCCCCCCATCCCCGAGAGAGCCGTTTTGTGTTGGGAGAGGGTTCCAGATGGATTTTCACTTTGGAAAGGCTCCGGTGTGAAAATCCATTTGGGACCTCCCGACGCTGAGCGGGAGGGCCCAGCCGCGAAAACCAAGCTCCCGAATACGGGATTTCATTTGGAAAATTGCCATGATGGGGGCTCGGGCACACTTCCCCCCCCATCGCCGAGAGAACCGTTTTGCGTTGGGAGAGGGTTCCAGATGGATTTTCTCTCTAGAACGGTTCCGGGGTGAAAATCCATGTGGGACCTCCCGACGCTGAGCGGGAGGGCCCAGCCACGAACAACAAGCTCCCAAATAAGGGAT